CCCAATTTTCAATGTTTTTACTATTTTTTTTATTTCTCTTGAAAAAATTAATATTTTTAAACGTTCTTAGGCTCATTCAAATCGTATTTTGTTATGCAATTCAAATTATATAAAACAATTCATGTACACATTCTTCCCTAGCGTATGCAAACCGTGAAAGTTGGCTCATAAAATGTCAAGAAATTGAAATTTAATTCTACAATAAAATATAATGTTTAAAAATCAAGTAAATATATCATTCTAAACTTCTCTGATTTATGTAAGTAAGTTTGAAATTTATACATTTTACTGATCAATTTTTGTCATATAAACATTAATCACAATTTTTTGACATTTTATGAGCCAACTTTCACGGTTTGCATACGCTAGGGAAGAATGTGTACATGAATTGTTTTATATAATTTGAATTGCATAACAAAATACGATTTGAATGAGCCTAAGAACGTTTAAAAATATTAATTTTTTCAAGAGAAATAAAAAAAATAGTAAAAACATTGAAAATTGGGTTTTTCTTAGATATCTAATTGAAAAATTAACATATTCTTTTTGTCAAGGTGTCATTTCTTTCAGAATTTTATTAACTTTAATAAAATAAAGAGGAAAAAATTTTAGTTTTAATATTTTTGAAGATTTGAACAGTTTTATAGTTGTTGAAAAAGCAGAGTTCGCACAATTTCGGACGGTAGTGTAATATTCACATAATATTTCGATTCCAATGTAAAAAGGTGATTTCTGTGAATATAAACAAAAACCAATAGTTACTTTTGTATTTAACATTATAATTTTTCGTGAAAAGTGGTTTTTAAGGCTGAAAACGTCAAAATTTGACCCGTCCCCACAGGATGTTTAAACAAAAAAGTTAATATTTTTAGCAATGTGCACTAATAAATACAATTTCTGTTGCTATTTTAGTATTGTATATTGTAGTGGAATTGAATAAAGAAAAACGTTTGATCAAAAAAATAATTATTTTCTTTTTTTTCTATTTATACTTGACTGATCTTCTGTGTGTTATTCTGCGTTTATTATTAAAAATTGAATTATTTAAATAAAAGTCAAATGTTAATATAGTTCTACTTCAGTAACAGCAAGTAACAGCAGTAACAGTTGATCCATGAAGGAAGTAATCAATTTTCTAATTGATTTATCCTTTTTTTACACATTTCAAGATTCAAATTTGTACAGGGCATCACAAAATCGTCTCCACCGGCATCCACCGACCCTTCAATATTATTTTAAAAAATATAATATAATTAAATAATAAAGGTTAAATAAAGTGTAGTTATATTATTTTAGTCTATATATATGTGAAACATATGACACCGATTAAAAATAAATGATAATTTTCTCAAAAAAAAAGAAAAATTATTAACGCCAGTTCCACCGATTCCACCGACCCCAGCGTCTCCACCCGCCACAGAATTTCGACCGTCACTAGTCCAAGTTTAATACACAATGAAACAAACGAAATTCAAAATATTTATTATAAACTATCATAGCTCCGGTAAGTTTACTATAACTTACCAAATAAATTTCTATACATTACAGTATAAATTTCCATAAATTACCGCATAAATTTCTATAAATTACCAGAATAAAATTTTTAATTGTCGTTTGCGCTATATATATTTTTGTAAATTACCAGGAAATTTTTCATAAATTACCGAAATTAAAATATTTAATTGCGATTTATACTTTTCATATTTTGTGACGTGACATTTTTGACCCGTCACTAAAATTATTAAATTTTAAAGTAAAAATAAAAATTAATTAAATTGTCTTACTGGGAGAACTCATACTCACGTTCCTCTACTCCATAACTCGATCTCGACCACATTAACTATAGTAATAGAAAAATGAATTTGTATACTGCCGTTTTATTTTTATTTTTTTTTATGTATTCATTGCGTGCGATATCGACGATCTACGATGGACTACGAGACTGCTGATGGATCCACGGACAAGGAGACGTCCTCAAACCCGTATAGATAAGAACTAGTCCAACTTTATCATTCTGGTGCAGTTTCATTGGAAATGACTTCGCTAGGAATTATTACCGAAATACTGTTGTAGAAAAATCTTTTATCGTCTTAGAACCATTTGGAATTGAGAAGTTGAACCACGACATACGCTAATGGACCATATATCGAAACTTGGCCGGCAATGAGGGACGACCAGTTCAATTTTGTTATTCTTTTGCTTTCTTTTTTTTTTTTTACCTTTGATCAGTCGACGATGAGGTGCGGCTGTTTCATTTAACCAATTTTCGTTTTGGATCTATCGACGATGAGGAGCGATGAAATCCACCGAAATTGGTCAATTTTGGATTATTGTCGTCAATGAGGAGCGACACTACTAATTTCAAGAACGAATGCTGGATGACGAGAAGGCGTACAGTCCGAGTTGATATTATATGAGAATTCCTTTTCTCCGATGATAGTCTAATTGAGATCCAGACTTTGTATTAAGGCAATGACTATCACCATATGGATCTGCGTGATTTTGGTCAGGATATGTACGAGAAATCGTGAAAACTGACGTAACGATCATCGAAAATATTATGGGGTCATTAGCGGTAAAAAGGTATAAATTTTTCATAACATTTCCCAAGTTTAATAATCTACTTACAGACGACAACAGATGTACGATACCATAGCAAGAGTGATTCCAATAACGATTGCACCAAGAATACACCAGCAATATTCCATGGTTACACCAAGAATACTCCAATGATATACAAGAAGATATTGCGTACTGTAGTAATTAATTATATTTTGTTTATTTTATTTCTTATAATTTCCTTTATCATTTTTGGCGATATTTATGATAATTATTTCTTTCTTATTATTTTTTTTTAACAGATTAGAGTTGAATATTAACTCGTTATTTAGAATTTATTAGCGTTAATTAAAATTATTTGAGTTATTTAAATATTTGAACTCTTATAGTATTTTTCTTTATTATAATTTTTTTTTGCTTTGATTGATTCATTTTGTTCAGTAAAAATTTTGACTACTATTGCGATATAGAATCGATTTCATGCGATACTGATTATTAGTTATTATTATTTTTATTATAGCATTAATTTGTTTACGTATTTTACACTATTAATATGTTGATTTATAACTCGTAATCATATAAGAAATATTATTGTAAAATATCAGCTGTGAAGGTATGATTTAATAATTCGTCTGATTTTGAATTTGAATGTGTTTCGCGCCGTTGCGCAGAATAAGTATGAGTGCTCGCGCGCCGGATTATCAGATTAGGTTAGAAAAGACTCGACGCCACCGGTACTCTGGAGCACGAGGCACATTAGATTAGCTTAGCGATAGCGAGAAGGACTGGTCCCAAATTTTGTCACGTCGAGATAGAGAGCCAAGCCGAGAGATTTTGATATCGTAGCGAGAATAAAGAGGATATTGAGACGAGGAAATCAATTAATTGGATATTACTGTAACTTTTCTGTAAGTCGATATATAGTTCTCTCTCTCTATAATTATTTTTTTTTAGAATGCATATTCCAACTATTTATTACGTTACAACTAAAATATAGAGTAAAATTATTGAAATTGGAATATGGATTCTATACTGTCGAATGGTCGATATTATCGATTTTCGCGTTATTTTTCTTATGTTATTTAAAAATTAGATTTAACTTAATATCGTTTATGCGACACTTCGACAAAAATGATTCCTTTGTGTTTATAAATTTAATTTTTTTTATTATTATTTATTATGCTGGAGCAAGATTTTCGATTTTGTATAATTTGTTAAATTCATTATTTCATAATATAACGTTATGTCGCGAATTATTCTTAGAGATCGAGTTATTTTCGAGTTATCGTTAGGATAAACTAAATTTTTCAATTTTTTTTGTATCGCGATATCGAGAGAAAATTTTTGAGTGGAATTAATTATTAAGGTAAATTGTTAACTATAACATATTAAATACTGTCGAGAATTAAACATTCTTTTTTTATTTTTTTTTGTAAATATTACGACTATATTGAGAAACGCCATTGCTAATATAAAGTTATTAATTTACTTTAATGGTATCGTGAGTTCTTTTATACCTAATGAAACACTCTCAACACAGACCCACTTCCCCTTGTTTTAATTAACAGCCGCGAGCTAGAAATAATAAATTGGGTACCGGTTTATTGAGATCGAAATGTTAATAATTATTAATTGATATTTTTTTTTGAAATTCATATGACGCTTTTGAGTTGTGTACGATCCTATTATTGTTGGTTTTGCTGACGTTGACTCATCGGTGAGTCTGGCGCCCAACATTTGTTAAATTTTACTATAGAGTTTTCTTATTTTAATATTTAGTTAAGAAATTAGATTTCGATTAAATTCTCGATCAAGATACCGAAGGTGAACGCTACTATTCCTAATTTGGCATAGGAATCGCGAGAGGTAAATTTGAGGATTACCTATCATTTATTTCTTACATCACAATTTTTATGAATTATAGCCAAAATTTCTATAAATTACCATATAAATTTCCATAAATTACTGAAATAAAATTTTTAATTGTCGTTCGCGCTATATGTTTTTGTAAATTACAGCGAAAATTTCCATAAATTACCGCGGAAATTTCCGTAAATTACCAAAATAATAATTTTTAATTGTGATTTATGCTTTACATATTTTGTACCCCAAAAATTCCCATAAACATTTTAAATCAAATTTCAACTATTTTATAGAATTTAACAAAGAATTTTTTTTTATTTTGTTTAAAAAAATTTTAAAAATTTTCCGGCCCACCATGGATATTTATTTCTTGACACTTTATCTTCAAAAATATGTATTGATATTTATCATTTCGATAAAAAAATATTTTTAAAGTATCAGACACCAAATCGTGCGCTACGCGGAGAATCACCCATGTATCAAATTTCACATAAAAGGCTTCTTATTTTGCCACTTCAATCGAAAAATAAATATACCAATTTCAATAAATTAATATTAATTTCACGCATTATACGCACCTGTTGTTGAAGAGAGTTGGAATACAGCGTGGCCTGCACGAGATTTAAAGCTTGTGTCATATTAACAATTCCTTCTTTTAGAAATTGTTCTATTCCAAGCAAATTGGTTTTGTTCATAATGACATGTTCAGAATTTAAATTGCTTATATAATTCATGGTAGGAACGTTTGATATAGCTCTTGAATTTTCTCTAGTTTCAGGGACTTCCAAAAATATTTGATTTGTTGGTAAAGGATGTACAAGGATGTACTCATTATCAACTAAGATGGATGATTTTTGCCCTTGTAATTGAGCATTTGCACTATTATTATTAACTCGGCTTTCTGTTCCATCAGTTGCAGAAATTAAAGCAGACGAATTTGTTAAAACGTTTTCAGTGTCAACACATGAAGATCTTTCACTAACTATATTTTTATTTGATACAGCTTCTTTTAATGACTGCGGGACAGTGCAAATTTCAGATTTTTTCTTTGCTTCACATTGACAACCATTCGTAAGAAGGGCATTTGTTGCTGGGAAATTTTGAGTTTCTTGACTGCAAAGAGTATCAGTTTGAACAGCTACATCTTCATGAGTTTCTTTAATGACTGTTTCTTTGTTTTTCTTTTTGTGAATATAATATTCTTTTATTGAATTTGGAGGTAATAATGAACTTTTTCGAGACAATTTATTTCGATTAATGTCTCCAATAAGGCTTGTTCGAGTTTTGGAGGTGCAACTAGATTTTGATTGTGGATTAAAGTCCTTGGTAGTGCTTTGTGTAGTATACAACTTTCTTCGAGCATGAACATCAGATGCAGACGAAGAAACAGCACTCTTTCGTGGCACTGAAAACAATTAATTTTGTAAGTTTAAATTAATTTAGTATAAATTTTAAAGTAGGGGAGACCACCACCCTTACACAGCAGCCCCGGTTGAGCAGCACTTGTAATTCTGTTCATGCTTCTTTATCTATTGATATGAAACTTATATCAACTTTTGGTCACGTTAAAAGGATGTTTTTGAGCAACCGTCGATCCGCTAAATACACAGCCACACAAAAAAGTGCCCGGGATGGGAGATCAAATTACCCTACCACCCTGTATTTTTGCCCGCTGAACACGAATCTGAAGTCCGATTTGCTCCTGCACGTGTACGTTTCTTCCTAACCTCAAAAAACATTTCACATTTTTGGTGGTATACGATTTTTTTTTAAATTAAAGGATTTATATTAAATTAAGTATTTAGGGGTTTTTGAGGTCGCTGATTACGAATCTGAAGTCAGATTTTGAAAATTCAAAATGGCGGATCCAATATGGCGGACAAATTTTTTGAAAATTAATGATTTTTTAGAAATTTTTTTTAAAAATTGTTGGATTTTTATGGAATTTGTTACTTGGGGATTTTAGGGGCCGCTCATTACGAATCTGAAGTGAGCTTTTCAAAATTTAAAATGGCGGATCCAGTATGGAGGACGAATTTTTAAAAAATTGTTGGATTTTTATGAAATTTTATATCAAGGATTTTTTGTGGTCGCTGATTGAGAATTTGAAGTCAGATTTTTATAATTCAACATGGCGGTCGCGTATTAATATACGTTTATTTCAAACTTGGAGAACGAATTTTTAATTCTTCCTCCACATTCGATCCGCCATTTTGAATTTTGAAAAACTGACTTCAGATTCTTAATCAGCGACTCCAAAAACCTCCAAGTAACAATTTTCAAGCCGATCCGAATGATTTTTATTTTTTCGTCCGACATATTAGATCCGACATTTTGAATTTTGAAAAGCTAACTTTAGATTCGTAATGAGCGGACCCTAAAATCCCCAAGTAACAAATTCCATAAAAATCCAACAATTTTTAAAGAAATTTCTAAAAAATTATTAATTTTCAAAAAAAAAAAAATTAATTAAAAAAAAAAAAAATAATAAAATAAAAATAATAATAAAAATAAAATAAAAATTAATTAATTTTTTTACGTCCACCATATTGGATCCACCATTTTGAATTTTCAAAATCTGACTTCAGATTCGTAATCAGCGGCCTAAAATACATGGGGGTAGGGTAATTTGATCTCCCAATCCGGGCACTTTTTTTTATTTTGTTTGTCTGTGATATTATTTAACCTTTTGTGAGCACTATGTGAAAAAAACGCTATAATGATTTTTTCCGCTTTGTAACATACTGATTTTTTCCTACTGGAAAAACGTAGGTAGATTAGGTCGTACATAAAAACTCACGTGAGAACGCTGGCAAGATTTCAAGCATATAGGATCCTGTGAGAGATCTTACGTACGAACTCATGTGAGTGCACTAATAAATACAATTTCTATTGCTATTTTAGTATTGTATATTGTAGAGAAATTGAATAAAAAAAACGTTTGATCAAAAAAAAATTATTTTTTTCGCCATTGACATGAAAAAGTGTCTTTTTTGTGCCTGTTTTGGGCAGATAAAGTAGTACTTTTTAAGGCAGTTTGGGCCAACTGCCTAAAAAAAGTATTTTTTTTGTCAATTATGATTCCCTACTTTATCATCACAAGTATTTCAAAAAAAGAAAAGTCAGTCAAAAGTGATTAATATATTTGTGATCGCGCTCCGCCCACTAAGTGCTACGTCGTTACAGTGGGACGAAAAACACGGCCGTGGACAAATTAACATAGAGCATACTTTCAACCGATTTTGACATTCTTGGTCTTGTTTGCCTTTTGACCTAATGCAATATACTGACTTTTCTTTTTTTGAAATACTCGTGATAAAATAGGGAATCATAATTTACAAAGAAAATACGAAATTAAGCGCAGAAGTTTATTTTTATTTTCATTTGTTTATAATAATTGTTGCTATTTTAAACAAATTATGGACAAAAATCAACAAATTTTGTTTGTTTGAAAGCATGATTATTGTATATTACACATACTAAATTTTAGCAAAATCCATCAAATAGAACCGTAGAAAAGCTTTTTTTACTAATTGGATGCTTAAAAATTGTTTAAACAATAACTCTTAAAAAAATTCTAATTTTGCAAAACATCTGTAGGATCTTATTTTGATTCGAAAATACTATAAAATTATTGATATGACATAAAAATCTTGCCATCGAAAAATTAGTGGCTCATTTCAGATATTTTTAGCCATTTATAAAATCTGTAAATGTTAAAGGCTTTTATGATTATTAAATAATATAAAATATATTATTATAATTGTAGCGATTTACTTGTATAATCTCTATGAGTAATGTCTTGTAGTAGAATGTGTCTGTGTGGAATGTGTGTGAATAAGAAATTTCGAGAAGTAGGAAATTGGGTGTCATGCGTCGCATTGTGCGAGTAAATCAGTGTGGTCAAAGACCTCGAGCACATCGTGCGTGCGATAGGTGATCTAATCGCCGACTGCGAATTTTCAATAAGTATTAAATGTAATATTGTTCGGCACAAGTTTTAATTATACTGTTTTTCTTTTTAATAACATAAAGATTTGTTACATATTTTAATTATTTATTCAAATAGTAATTTTTAGATGTGCTGCACAACCGAGGTCAAATTTTATTTTGTCCGAAAACACTACCTTTTGAAATTCTTTCGTAATTCTTCTGTTTTAAAGACATTTTTAGTTTTTTAAGCAAAAGTTAGGTGTTTACTCTAGCTTTAAAATGGAAGCTCAACAATCAAAATTAAATGATCCAATTAAAAGTTATGGATAAAAAACTACACCTGCTGTACAACCGGGGACACTCCTCTAACTAAATAATTTATATTTTAATTTTTGATTATTCGATGATAATCGTCAATAATCAACAAATTTTATAAGACGGTTGCATTGTATAATGGTAAATAATAATTTATAAGACCTATTCACGGCTATTTTGATGTTCAAATACTTCAAATACTTTACTCAGTATTAATCCCTCTTCTAGGTGAACTAAAAAAAATTTCAAACAAATTTTTTTTTACAATTTTGGGAACCAGTTAAAATCATTATTTTTTTTGAAAAAAATTAAGTTTTTGATTTTATCTCTCAAAATATTCGAATTGCACCATTTTTTTTAGAATTTTTTAATTCACCTAGAAACTACATATGTAAACTTTAAATTTTTTTGGATTTCATGTTTCAGACAAAAATTGCGCTCTCTATCGTGCCCACCGTTTTTTAAGGGGAGGTTCCACTGGTTTTTTTTTAAAAAATCGAAAATTTTTTTTTTCATTTTTGGTTAGTATACATACCTAAGAATACGGTAAAAATAGTCTAATGCACAAAACTCGCTCTTAAGAGTACTTATGATAGCGAAAACGCTACCCCCTTCATGCGAAGCGAGGTACAGTAGAATAAAAGTGAAATTTTTGTTTTGAAATTCTATCGAAGCGGCAAATGTTAACCGATTTTAATGCATCTTTTTGCAAAACTATCATGAAGAATTTCTTTTTAAAATAAGCTGCAACGACTATGAAATTACAAAATGGCGGATCCAATATGACGTTAAAATGTTTTTAAAAAAGTTTAAAGTGACCAATTACGGTGGAAAATTTTTATTTGGGGGTTTTTAGGGTCGTTAAATAAGAATTTGACATCAGATTTTCAAAATTCAAAATGGCAGTTCCAGTATGGCGGATAAATTAAAACAATTAAAAAATGGGCAAACTGGTTTGACACTTGTTACTCGGGGGTTTTTGGGGTCGCTGATTACGAATCTGAAGACCGATTTAAATAATTCAAAATGGCAAATCCAATATAGCGGACAAATGTTTTTAAAAATTGTCGAATTTATCTGAATCATGGTATCTAGGGGTTTCTGGGGTCGCTGATTACGAATCTGAAGCCATTTTTCAAGAATTCTTTCACCATAGTCGATCCTCCAATTTTATTTTCATAAATATTGATAATATGACTTCAAATTCCTAATCAGTGACCATAAAAACTCCTAAATACCATGTTTCAGATAAATTGGACAATTTTTAAAAAGTAACATTAAATTCGTGATCAGCGACCCCAAAAACCCACAAGTGATGAGTTTAAAGTAAATCCGATAAATTTTTGTAAAACTCGTCCGCCATATTGGATCCGCCATTTTGAATTTTTAAAAAGTAACATCAAATTCGTGATCAGCGACCCCGAAATCCCCCGAGTAACAAAATTCAAGTGAATTCATTGAGTTTTTGTCAACTTGAAAAATATTATCCAAAATTTTTATATAAAAACTTTAAACGCGTTTTTCTCGAAACCACATATTTTCAACTGGTTCACACTCCCATTTTAACAATACTTAACCAATTAACTTGATTTTTGGACAGCATGTTCCTTGAATGTGTAGTTTTCGTGTGGACTAGGATTTTGAAAATTCATTAATATTTAAAAAAGTTATAAACAATTTAAGTTGCAAAATTATGATAAAAAAATTCAAAAGTCTGTCCTTCGGTTATTTTTTAATAAGAAAATCTTATTCTAGTCGACACGATAGCCAAAATGGTACAGATTAAGAAACTATTTACTTTTTTCATTTTAGATTAACCGTTCCAGAGAAAAAGTGTGAACCACTTTTAGAGAGGACCACTTTTGGCAGCCATTTTCTAAGACGCCATTTTGAAAAAAAAATAATAATAATTTTCGATTATCTTAAGACATGTATTTTGAGATAAAAAAATTTTAAGTAACAAATATTTTTTTTACTATAAAAAAAAATCTTTGAAAAAACCATCAAAACCAGTGGAACCTCCCCTTAAGTCAAGAATTGCATCGCCGTCAATAATTTTTTAATACTTTTTGTCAAACATTTGTTCACAAATACTTCAAATATACATATACAAAAACATCCCAAAAAGTCCGGAGGTCTAAATTATTTTTTTCCTTTTCAAAAAAATTCTTAAAAAAGCGCTATTTTTAGGCCTTCTAAACAAGAATCCCCCTTAAAGATTCCTAAACAGCGTGTGTTTTTTTTATCAGAATTGGCCTTTTGGTCGCCGGCGGTTCAATTTTGAAAAACTCACACTGGATTAGAAATCAGCCACCCCAGTAAGTTCATTTTTTGAACTAGCACAGTGTAAAAAATTTAAAAAATTTGAACACTTTTTTAAAGCTCGTAATTTTTAGCTGGCAGATAAAAAAAATTTGCAGTTATGCAGATATTTTATTACTAATATAATTTGAAAATATTTTACATAAAAATATTAATAACACGGTGCTACAAAAAAAATTTTTTTTAATATACTTCTTATGAAACCTATTGGAGGTTGTAGATCACAAAAAACTAAGAAGAATGGTGTATATAAAATTCTCCAAACACCCCTAAATTTTCATTTTAGAGCTAGCAAACCATTTTTACATATGTTTATGCATAAAAACCTTTATAACTTTCTTATTTCTGCACAGATTTCAAAATTTTTTTTTCATTTTGAAGCTGAGAAACAGAGCTTTTTAGCCCATATTCGATATTTTTGTTTAAATTAATATTTATAAGAGAAAAATTACAAAAATGTTCAGAAGTTGTCATTTATCTCGCAATTTTTCAACTTTAACTGATGTTTTCATCATTAATTTTAATTTAAACATTTTTTCTCTTCTAGCGCTATTAAAGCGTATTAAATTCTACATTCAATGAGCCCTATTTGAATAAATTTTGTAAAAAATTAACTGAATTATTGTAGTTTTTCTCTTTACAGATCTAGTAGCTGATTCAAGAACATTACAGTTTATTCTTTTCTTTTTCATTCTTAATTGTTTATGTATAGTATTTGTCAAGTTCTGACAGTTTTTATTCCATGTTGGTCATGCTAACAATGAGTTTTTTTAACAAATATTAATTTTATAAATGAACTATAAACAAACACGATTGAATAAAAATACTCCAAGTTATGAAGGTTTTACTAATTTTTGTCGTTTTTTGCATTTTCAGAAATAAAATAAATTCTACTTCTTGTATCAGATCTTGAACAAGAAAATATATTTAATATTTGTATACAAGAAAAAGTACATGTTCTTGTACATATTCTTATGCAGGTTCTTGTACATGTACTTACACATGAAATCGTTCATGTCCTTGTACAATTTCATATGGAAAAAACTTTTTTTTCAACAAAATTTTAGATTTTATTAGTTTAGAACCATTAAAACTCTTTAATTATGTATTTTAAGAATTATTGCGCAGCTGTAAAGTTGTAAGAAAACTACTGCGCAGTCTTTAAAGTTTTTCATTTTTACTAAACGAAGACATAAATACCCAGTAAAAAAAAAAAAATTGGGAGTAAGCGAAAAGAATTGGTGGTAACTTAAGCTGAATTCGGTTTGGTGAAAAAACCGAATTGGAACGTTAAGGTGAATTATTTTTTTCTTACTGTGAATTCTTTTCTCTTGAACATTTGAATTGACGTTTGTTTATTCAAGTTTGCATTATAAATGAATAAAATAAATGTTTCGAAGTCTAAATTCTGGTTTCACGAAAATGTATATTTTCTTGTACAAGATTTTGTACAAGGGATTTTCAATAGGGTATAAAATAACAATTTAGAAATATTTCTATTAAAACAATATGAGAAATCTCGAATTCCAATTTACTCTTTATATTATAGTAAAGAGAAAAACTACAATACTTCAGTTAATTTTTTACAAAATCTATTCAAATAGGGCTCATTGAATGTAGAATTTAATACGCTTTAATAGCGCTAGAAGAGAAAAAATGTTTAAATTAAAATTAATGATGAAAACATCAGTTAAAGTTGAAAAATTGCGAGATAAATGACAACTTCTGAACATTTTTGTAATTTTTCTCTTATAAATATTAATTTAAACAAAAATATCGAATATGGGCTAAAAAGCTCTGTTTCTCAGCTTCAAAATGAAAAAAAAATTTTGAAATCTGTGCAGAAATAAGAAAGTTATAAAGGTTTTTATGCATAAACATACGTAAAAATGGTTTGCTGGCTCTAAAATGAAAATTTAGGGGTGTTTGGAGAATTTTATATACACCATTCTTCTTAGTTTTTTGTGATCTACAACCTCCAATAGGTTTCATAAGAAGTATATTAAAAAAATTTTTTTTGTAGCACCATGTAATTCAAGGTCTTGAAGTTTACAAAACAATTTTACACATTAAAAGATTTTTAGAAACATCATTTTCGTATTTTTAAAGTACATAAAACTCTTTGAAATATGTCTAAATGTCAATATTTAAAAACAAATACTTACAATTAATGTGTCTATCTACACTCTTTGATGGATACACGTATTTAGTTGATTCTGGTTTCTTTCGAGCTGAAAAAATTCAAACAATATTTATTTATTCATATATGAAGTTAGTGACCGTTATAGTTTATTAATAAGATTTATAACAGGCTTATCGGTCAAAAATATTTTATTAATTTATTATGAAAATAAAATCAATGTGTCGACGTTTCGGTTGGTACCGACTACCGAATATTTATATTAATAAAATAAGACGTGTGTATGCATTAATGTCAAATAAACAAGGAACATTACAGCAATAACGTGTTACAATTCGGTAACAATTTTGCTAACTTCACGCTACAAAACAATGACTTAGAATTTTATGTTACAGATTTTTGTTATTATTTTCATTTATGATCATATAGAAAACAATGACTTAGAATTTTATGTTACAGATTTTTGTTGTTATTTTCATTTATGATCATTGATCGAAATTCCGATTACCTAACCTAATATGCACAGAGGGCCAGGAGCGCCGATTATTGCAAAGACACGTCAAAACCGCACTATTCGGAAAGCAAAAGTTAAAAAAAGTTTCGCTTTTAGATACCTCAAAGTATGTGAAAATTAAACTTTAGATTATTTAGAATTATCCGTTTGATACAGAACTTGTTAAAACGTTAATTTTCAAAGTTTAAAATTTGTGACTTTTTATTGTGACAAAAATTTAAAGAAACGTAAGGAAATTCATAAAAATTAAAGATTTTTTATCGACAAGTCTTATAATGTATCTAAAAGAAAGTAATTATGATAGAAACAGGTTTGAAAAATTAATAATTTTAAAAATACTACGCCCTGAGAAATGTTTTATGTGAAAAAAAAATAAAATAAACAGTGCGTTCAAAAAAATTTTCTCCAATTAATAAACATTCTATATGTGTATTATATTCATTAATTCACAAGTTTAACTCTTTTAACATATTCATACTTACAGGGTGGCCACTATTTTTAGAATTTTTCCCTCCCGGTTTTAAAATACATTTTTTCTGTTCACAAATCTATTATATTTATGTAATATGCAATTGTAAAAAATAATGAATACCAAAAGCATTCAATGAAAATTTATAAAATTTAAGTTTTATGAAGTACATTGAAATAAAATATAACAAATTTTATTAAGTATAGTAGACATTTTAGTAAACATTTTTCAATTTAGGGAAAACGTGTAAAACTGGGAAATATTGATACAAAAAATAATATACTTCTGAAAATATTTTTCAGTCTTTAAGAAATGTATTTCAAATTTTAGTAAATATTTACAAACTTCAACATAATTTATAGTAATCATACAAAATCTTTACTGAAATTTAATATATTTTATATAATTTTTTTCCAGTTTGCAGGATTTTCCCTTATTTGAAAAGTATTTACGAAATTTTGTTATATATTTTCTTTCAGTGTAGAATTAAAAAATTTTGTATTGTGAGAAATAAAAATAGCTAATTTTTGTTGATGGTAAATGAGCAATTCCACGTGAGATTGAGGGATCTATCCTCCGATTCCTTGTATACTACGTTTTTGGGTAGAGGTTATGGATCTAATTGAGTAAATTAAATTTTGAAAAAAATATTTATTATTTTTCGAGATATTTGTATTAAAAAATTAGTGCAATTTTTTTTCAATTACTCATAACTTTTTCACTTTTAGTCCTAGAAAAAAGTGTCCTAAACGTTTTTTGCTCAGAAAATATTGAAGTTTAAGAAAAAAAATTAATTTTGAAAAATTAAAATTTTTTAATTTATTTATTTATTTAAAAAATAAAGTTTGTTTTTAATTTTTAAACTTATTATCGAGCTTCGTTTACTTAGAGGGGGTTTCCTACCTTCTCGGAACGGTATTTTTCAGTCTTTCTCTAAATAACATTTTATAATTAATTTTCGATTTTTAGAAATACTTAATATTCTTTTTTTGACACAGAATTAGATTAGACGTAGTATAGAAGGAATCTGAGGATAGACCCTTCAATCTCACGTCGAATTGCTGATATATTTTACATAATTAACGCGAAATTTTTTTCAGTCCCGGCTTTCTCTTGGTTCTCCCGGTTGGCTGAACACCCTGTCTTATAATTTAACAACGAAACATATCGAAAAATCTTACATTTATACAGATTCGAACCCTGCCTAACTTATATGTAAACGCAACCTAACATCGCACGCTTTTACATTAAGCCTCTCGGCCACGCAATCGCTATAGGAAAAATTTTTGTTTACCCGCACATATCCTTCTTTAATAATGTCAATTATAAATTGTACTTATTTATTAGATAAGTTACTGAATTAAAATATAAACATTTTTAATAATATTAATGAAATAATATTAATAGATAATAAATAATAAATTAATAATATTAATAAAAAATTTAATTAATTAAATTAAAATTACTTATTTTGTTACTTATTCTGACTTTATATAAAATAAATAAGAATTATGTAAATTAATTTTATAATAACTTTATATAAAGCTAGAATTGCACATTGTAATATATAAAACTTTGAAGTACTAACAAATAATAATTATAATTACTATATAATCTTAATAAGTTTATTTCTTTGTATTTTTTAATTTATTTTATTATTATAGGCATAATAATTATTATAATATTTATTATTATAACGAACGCTGCGCATGACCGTAGTGACGTCGTCACCCACACACACAGATGTGTAGTAGTAGTGGTACGGATTACTACTTTTTCTAGTAAAAAGTTTGATCAGCAATAGTAAAAGTTCTTTCTTGTAAAAGCAATTTTTATAATTCCCAGTATTACTTATTAGAATTTCAATGAGTAATATTTAAAAAGTGTCGAATGTAAAAAGTAATACAAAATTTAATAAAATTTACAATGGCTTTATAAAATTTAAAAATCCTAAAGTAATTTCTATTATATCTGTAGCAATTTTTAAAAGTGACTACTGTAATAATTACTATTAGTAATTATTACTACCAAAAATAGTAATATTTACTTCATGCGAACTACACTTTACAATTAATAGTAATTTCTACTAGAAAAGTATAATTATTACTATTCCATTGGAATTTTTACTAGAATCTCAGCACCATTTTTCTCCGTGAGTAGACAAATTTAGCTGACTTTTTTCATTTTTGACCTTTTTTTCAACTTAAATTGTTTAAAAAAATTGTTAAATATTAATGAAAAATTATGATTCTGATTCCGGCGATAGCGGTAGATGTGTAGAATAAGCCATAAAAATTTGAGCTTAATCGGTGCAATAGTTTTCCTTTTATGATGTCCGCCAGGTCAAAAAACGTTGTTTTGAGAAAAAGCGAATTTACGAAAACGTCCTTTTTCAAGAAAATACCCCCTTACACGACAGGATACATTATATAATGTATATATGCTTTTATATACATATTTATATACATATATGTGTAATTTGATATATGTATATTTATATTTATATGAGTGTATGTTTATAAAAGCATATACATTGTACTCGCGAAGAGTACGCTCCGTGAGCGTGTGACTTTTACATTATACCCCATTTTTCCATATGTTACAGAAGTTTCCAACCAAAATAATAGTTTCCATAGCATTTCTACATATATCTACTACAAGAATATGCAGTTTTTAGAAAATCGATTTTCTTGAAAAAAGATGTGGTACACAGTTTTCCTAAAAGTATCAAATTGAGACCAAAAATTGCATCAAATCTTTGCAACGTTTTGATGCATATAAGTTATATCAAAAAGAGATCGTTTTGTGTATCATTTTTAGAAATGATACACGAAACGGTCTCATTTTTTGATGCAAAAAATTTAATCAATTTATATCAATCATGGCCGAATTGAATCGACTCAAAATTAAACGAATTTTTTTCAGATATTTTGGTAATAGTACAATTGCGGAGACCATTTCACTATTTAATTTGAAAATGAAAATAACAGAAAATCAAAGACAATGTGCAATTCGATAATTAAAAAGTGACAGCTTATAAACATAACCTAAAATGCATGAGAAAAAATTTGTCGATAAAATCAATATAGCCGAGCTTTTTAGAAGGTAGATGGCAGCACTCATCTATTTTCTTTCTTTAAATTTTTTCTGAATCGTTTTTATAAAAAGCAAAACTGCCATCTAACTTATAAAAAGCTCGGCTATATTGATTTTATCGACAAATTTTTTCTCATGCATTTTAGGTTATGTTTATTAGCTGTCACTTTTTAATTACCGAATTGCACATTTTCTTTGATTTTCTGTTATTTTCATTTTCAAATTAAATAGTGAAATGGTCTCCGCAATTGTACTATTACCAAAATATCTGAAAAAAATTCGTTTAATTTTGAGTCGATTTATTTCGGCCATGATTGATATAAATTGATTAAATTTTTTGCATCAAAAAATGAGACCGTTTCGTGTATCATTTCTAAAAATGATACACAAAACGATCTCTTTTTGATATAACTTATGTACATCAAAACATTGCAATAGAAAAAGATACAACCAAGTTTACTGTGTACTAACTCCTTAACAGAATTGTCGTTCGACAATGTCCTTTCACCGACACGTCAATTAACCGCCAAGTCAAGTAACAGAATTGTCACATAAGAGGGGATCCTACTTTACAAGGTCAAAAAAAATATGTATGAATAATATGTACCTGAAGTTTTAAGGGGGGAAACTTATGTAAATGCACGTTTTTCAGAAATTTAAAAAAAACTGGTAAAGTTTATTTAATTACATTAAAGCATACCTTAAAGTACACAATAGGTATAAGCTTTATAAAAAAAAAATTTTTTATTAAAAAACATTACAAAATGGTGGCGTTACAGCTGTTTGAAGTTACATCTTTGATTTTGCGCCGTGCAGCTTACAGGTCCACAAATCTCAACTTAAATTAAAAATAAAAATTTTTACCGTTAAAATACGCAAATACGCTTTACATGACGAAGAGAAAAATTTTTGAAAAAAAAACTTTTTTTATAAACAATGTTCAAAAACAATTGTTAAAAAATTATTTAAAAAAAAGCAGCTCGTCATGTAATAGCATAAAGAAGATTTGTGGTAAGTTTGATTAAAATCGGTTAAAAATTGTCTGAGTTACACTGCACATTGCACGGCGCGCGAAAAACCACGTTTCGAGAAAAACGCGTATAAAGTTTTCGATACATAAAAGTAGTGTTATAACTATTGCCTTGAAGACGTTATGTATTCGAAAATAACTATTGTACTAAAACAAAGATTTACTATCACTTGCTTATGGTGCATGCTAATGACAATTAATAAAATTATATTGACAAGAAACCAATAGAATACACAGTGGGCCAGGAACGCCGATTTTTGGCCAAAAGTCGATTTTGGAATATTCAAATAAGAAGTAGTACATTGTAATCAGTGACACTGAAACTAACATTTACCAAATTGATTTGATAACACTGGGTAACAAAAAAAATGGTCATGTTGTGTTTATTTCAAAATTCCTGTGCTTGTTGAAAATCTAGGTGTCAAGAAAAAAGAAAATACAAATAATTTTTTTTTTGATTTGTTCAGTTCCCTGAAAAAGAGGGTTAGTGTATCAAAAAATTGCTTTTTTGGCACTTTTTGAAATACTATGAAAGGAAAACGTAAGGACATAGAAAGTTTAAATAGGGCGCAAAAGAAAGCTTAAACCTTCAACTTTAAGACCCAAAACTGAAATATTATGCAATAATTGCGGGGAACCTGTATTTAACGCATAACCCATAATGTTTCATGTGTAACGAGATTTAAGAGGATTTAAACGGTTTTTAAAAAATTAGTCCCCATATTGGATCCAACATTTAAAATTTCGAAAAAATGGCTTAAAATTCGTAATCGATGACCCCTAGATCCACCGACTGATACGGCTTAAGCATATTTTAACGATTTTTAAAGAATCGTCTGCCGTACCGCATACGCCATTTTGAATTTTTAAAATTTAACCTTAAATTTGTAATCAGCAATCCAGAAAATCTCTAAGTGAGTAGTTTCAAGCAATTCCGATTTTGGAGAATCGCTACATGTCAAACATACATTCCCAATGATTTAAACTGCAAATTCAATGAAACGTTATGAATTATGCGTTAAATACAGGTTCCCCGGAATTATTGCATGATATTTCAGTTTTGGGTCTTAAAGTTGAAGGTTTAAGCTATCTTTTGAGCCCTATTAAAGCTTTCCAAGCCCTCACGTTTTCCTTTCATAGTACTTCAAAAAGTGCCAAAAAAGACATTTTTTACACTTTAACCCCCATTTTTAGGGAACTGAACAAATTAAAATTTTTTTTTTTATATATTTTCTTTATCCTTGACACCCAAATATTCAATAAACACAGGAATTTTGAAATAAACACAACATGACAATTTTTTTGTTACCCAATGTAATAAATTCATTCTGTTACATTTGGCAGCTATATAGATTCAAAAAAAATAAATTTTTTTAATTGCACTTATTTGTTTGAAAAAATGTGCCGAGTCATAAAAGTTACTGTTTTTACTTGTTATTTAGAACATAAACAACAGAAAAATTTTGAATATCCTGTATAATTAAATATTTTTTAATAATGAATTCGTGATTAGATCGAAAAATTAAGCTTTTTTATATTAAGTACACGCTTGTGAATAAAACTTCCCCGAACTTCTGCGCTCTGTTTCATAATATGAGGTGTTAAATTCTGCTCTAGAGTGCGGACTATAAGATAACATTTTAATATACGCTATATTGGATTTGCCATTTTGTATTTTTAAAAACCAACAGCATATTCGTTAACAGCGACTTCGAAAACCCCCAAGTGACGATTTTCATGCGAATCTGATCGTTTTTTAAAAAATAGTGTTTGCCATATTGGATTTACCATTTTGAATTTTGAAAATGTGATACCGGATTCGTAATCAGCGACCTAGAGACCCCCGAGTAATGATTTTCAGGCGAATTTTAAAACTTTTTCGACCTTTGGTGAAAAATCGGAGTTCCTGGCCCACTGTGGAATAGTGGAATCTCTTGCTCATAGTTAACTGCATTTGGTAGCATCTGAAGTGCTAAATTTATGTTTACTATAGACATTCATACATCTAATTATAGGACAATTTAAAGTATTTTTTAAGATACGAGACTAAACGATTCGAGGAGTCTGGCAGGTGTTTAAGCGCCTGGCTAAACCCGGCGGATTACTAATTACAGAAATTTTGAGTCGCGTAAAATTTATTCTTACTGAACCACAAATTTTGAAGCGCGTTTTCTCTAATTTCTCTTTTTACGAATTTCACAAACTGGTGGGCAGGAATAACAGAAAACGCCTTGACCGATTTTAATGAATAATGGCTTGTCTTACTCAGTATTAATCCCTCTTGTAGGTGAACTAAAAAAATTTCAAAAATTTTTTTTTTACAATTTTGGGAACCAGTTAAAGTCATTATTTTTTTCAAAAAAAAGATTTTTTTGATTTTATTTCTCAAAATATTCGAATTTCACATTTTCTTTGGAATTTTTTTAGTTCACCTAGAAGCTACATATTAGGGTGGCCCTTATTTTTCGAATTTTGAAATTTCTTATGTCGCCGTCCGGAATCTACTTTAAAATGTTAAAAAAATGACATGTGCACAAGGACAGCTCGATTAATTAATATTAGCCCGTGCCACCGAGGGTCTAAAGTTTAAGATTCCGGTTAGATCGTTTAATATAAAACAAAAATTCAAATTTTTTTTGAATCTGTGATAGATTTAGCTTTAGAGTACGCAGGATATTTTAAAAATATTAATTTTTGTGGATTTGACAGCTATTTGAAGGAAAAAGTTGATTTTTAGGGCAAAATTTTTTCAAAAAATCTATTGCCAAAATAAAACAAAAAAAACCAATAAAAAATCCGCTACGTACTCTAAAGCATTAGTAAATAACGATAAAAAAAACTTTTGCCGAAGTCAATCCGATCGAAACTGTTCGAGCTAGACTGCCCACCGTTTTGAAAAATGTCATTTCGAGAAAAACGCGTTTAAAGTTTTGTCATATGAAAACTTATAAAAACAATGAAATTGACGTTAATCAGCGATGCCTGCACCACATAATTGGCCATCTACATTAATATTGGCTTCATCTTCAGTCTTTCGAGCGGCTGTGAGTGTAAAAGAACGCAATTGTTACCACAGTAAAAGAGAAAATAGCCGATAGCATAGCGCTATCAAGCACTCGAAGCGCTCTTGAACACCTTCTGCAGATTTCGATTTTTTTCACATAAAATTACTTCGAAATCGCTTTTGCTGATATAATTTCTATTCTTCATATCATAAAGTATCGTTTAAGAAAACGAAAAAAAATTGATTTTTTTTTCCGGGCCAAAAGTGTCACACAAGTTTAGTGCACTTTTTTACAAGTTGTATGTTATTACTTTTATTTATTAATTTGTTTCTTTTACAATATGTACACTTATGGTTTAGGATATGCTAAACATGAATCCGATGTCATAAATAATTTTTGACATTATCCAGCTGTCAAACTTTTATCAACGTGAGTTTATAAGCGTTATTTTACACTTATTTACGCACATACGGTTGTTTTTAGAAACATTAAGTCTAAATGAAGTGTAATTTTGACAGTTGACAGCTGTCAAATAAACTGTCAACGTTTTGAAAACAAAAGTTTTGAAAGCTTTAACATTAATTTACTCAAAAATATTTAATTTTTAGAACATTAAAAAAATTTTTTTTGTTTTTAATTTTTAAAATTTTTTATTTTTAAGGCCACTTGAAATAAATGTTTTAAAAATTAATTATTTTTGAGAAAATTAATCAAAAGCCTCGTTTTTAAAAATTTGTGAACTCTCAAAATTAAATGTTTTTTTTTATTTTTATTTAGTTTTAATGTTCCGGAAAGTAATTATTTTTGAGTAAATATATTAAAAACATCCATAAATTTTCGTTTTTAATAATTTGACAACTGATTATTATTACAACATCCATATGTTAAAGAAAAAACGAAAGACGATAATTTTGATTCGCCTGTTTATAATAATTTTTATTAATATTTATTAGAGTATGTTAGAAATATTAATTTTTTGAACAAATAATATGATTCCCTCCTTTTTAATTGTTTTTTTATAATTTAAATGTAAACAAATTTTTTTGTTTTAAAAATATTTTCATTTTAATACGTAAAAAGATTTAGACCGATATTTTAAAAAATAAAAAAATATTACAAAAAACAAAAAAGTTTATTTTTTGCCTTTTCATGAGAATCCTCCCTTAAATGACGATTCGGTTAAATGACAGTTCTGTTATTTTTGACAATTCGGTTAATTGCATTTTGGTTAAATGACTGTTTGGTTAATTGACTTGTGGTGCATATTCATGCATCCAGAATTATTGTGTTTGTGATTTATTTGCATAGAATCACAAGGTAAACAATAAAAGCAAAAGAGATCAAGAAAAAATACTTACCACTTAAAGATTTAATCAAGTCCTTAATTTTTCTTGGTTCAAGTTTTTTTCGATCTGAAAAAATTGAAATATTTATTATTTCAGTAGCTTAAAGTAATTACAAGGAAAAACTTTTTTCGCACAAGGCACTATTTCGACCAGCGGTATTTAAAAATTATAGTGTACTTTAAAAATTCAACTCACCAGTCGACGGTGCGTTCTCCATTCTCGATTCATCACTGCTAATTAGCATGTCCTTTAGCTTCAGTGGCATAAGTTTTGTTCGCTCTAAAAATTCAGCATAAGTATATACTTTAGAAATTAGTAATTTATCAAAAAGTATCATATTTTATTTATTTTATCTCTATATAGAGAAAAATTTATCAGCATTGATTAGAATAGTCTGCATTAAAGCTCCGATTTGTGACACCTTTTGCGTGAACATAAAAAGTAAATCGATCGAAAATCGATTTTTTTTTACCAACATAATATGCTGTAGAATTTTTAGAAAGATTTAATGATAACTTTTCAAAAAAAAAAATTTTAAATCTACTAGGAAAGAAAATAAATATCAAATTTTACAAAAATACATTGTGTCTACTAAAAACCTAAGTAATTTGAAATTCCAGGACTTTTTATAGCGTATTTTTTTACCTTTTTATTTTACTTAACATGTATACTTTAAAACAAAATTAAAATCAAAAGAAGTAAAATTGTGATACTTTTTAAGGAATAATAAAATAAATTTAACTCAGTGTATTCGATCGGCGAGCTATTTGAACAAAATTATTGAAAACTTAAAAATTTCAAGGACAAAATTAAAATTCCAGGACTTCCAACACCAGCAGACACCCTGAAATATTTTCAAATTTTGTTAAAGTATTTTAAAGTCGTGGAAAATATGATAAAAAGCGAAATTTTCATGTAAGAATACTGATCTTTAATAACCTTTTATGACAATAGTTATATTAAAATTTGGTAAAACATATAATTATAATTCATTAGTAAATGATACTAAAATTTATTAAATCCTATACTAATTTTTTTTTTTATTTAAAATAAACATTTATTTTCAAAAAAATGTGAAAAAAAATATCAAATTAAAAAAGGTAGAATAGGAGGAAGAGAAAAAAATTAGATAGAACAGAGAAACGAATAAAAAACTTATGGGAAAAGTCCACTTTTTTCAAAAAAACAAAAACAACGCTATGGTAATCAATTCCAATCAGGTTCGCTATATATTTAAAAATCGTGTACCCCCCCCCTCCTAGTAGTCACACATATTTATCTGGAGGGCTGAAATTCAGTACAAATGTATTTTTGCGTATTGATTACAGAAAAAATATAGCGAACCTGATTGGAATTGATAACCATAGCGTTGTTTTTGTTTTTTTCGAAAAAGAAATTTTTTTTTGAAAAAAGTGGACTTTTCCCATAAGTTTTTTATTCGTTTCTCTGTTCTATCTAATTTTTTTCTCTTCCTCCTATTCTACCTTTTTTAATTTGATATTTTTTTCACATTTTTTTAAAAATAAATGTTTATTTTAAATGAAAATAAAATCGGACAAGTGCGAGTTACACTCGTACTGAAATCGAGGGTTCCGTACACGAAGTAAACTTATTTGGTATAAAAACAAATATTTAAAAAATATAAGTTTTGTATGTCAGATAATGTAACTGATACGAAGAGGAATAATTTTCTTAAATTTTTTAAAAAAATTGTTCCTTTTTGTATCACTTATATTATTAGACATACAAAACTTATATTTTTTAAATATTTGTTTTTATACCAAATAAGTTCGCTTCGTGTACGGAACTCTCGATTTCAGTGCGAGTGTAACTCTCACTTTTCCGATTTTTTTATAATACATCAAGACAGTAGTTTTTTTTAATTGTTCAGTACTATTTCTACTGTACAACGTTGCAGATAAAGTGCAAGATGATGATGATCATGATGATCAAATTATGATTTTTATCAAACTGTTTAAGTAGTAATTTAATAAATTAAATTCCCATCAGTAAATTATTATACATTTAATACCTTACGAAGGAAAACACTTCTAAAATACATTTGCACGAAAACTAACACTCCTGATTTTTAAACTCGAAAATGAATATTTATTTTAAAAAACTAATTTGATTATATTGAATTTTTAAATAAATAATACTACACGAAAGAGAAACTTGGATAAAACTTGTTTATTTGTACGGAAAACTTAAAATGAAAAACTATGTTTTTGGTTATAATATCGTCCCGAATCTCGATTGTGTTATTGTTCGTAACACCCGTCGATTTTGCCAGTCATGTAAACAGATAACAATAAGAGTTGTTAAAAAATAAATGCAACTTTGTTAAATGAAGCGACACTCCGAAAAAATGCACCTTTTAAATCGCTAACGTTTGCTTTCTTCTAAATGCATATTTTAAATGGACCATTGATGGCATTTTCTATTTTCATAATATAATTAGATTTAAGAGAAAACAAAGACTTTTTTATAGTTACTACAGTATTGATATTGAACATTTAACTTACCCACAGTGTCCATTTTGTTAAATAATATATCTTAAATACTCTTCATTAATTTTTAGCAAAATAAGTAAACATTTGAAAAACAAATAACTGTTCAATTACTGTGTTTATGTTTAAACTGGTAAATAACGGCAAATGGGCCTCGACACAATAACATCATAATGGTATGGTCACAGTTCGGTTTCGTTGCTGTGCTTATGCTGATTCTACACTCACCTAAAGTTGCTTCTCCAATGGGCACATTCGTGCGACGTCAAGGCCAACGCAGAATAGGAATGTAACCGGAATCGTAATCGCAAACGCAACCGGAAGAATGAGTTAGAGAAGGATAGACATATTGTTTGTCCTTCTCTAACTCATTCTTCCGGTTGCGTTTGCGATTACGATTCCGGTTACGTTTTTATTCTGCTCAGGCCTTCACCCATTTGGACGGAAGCGAAGCGCCTATCTGTGACGTGTAAGAGTCGATTTTAGGTGTGACGTCAGAGGTCTGGAGGGACAACAAACAGACGACACAATGTTATTCTTATGGGGAAGAAAATTAGTTTCCACTTTCATCAATTTTATTCATACTTTAAACATGGAAAACGCTTGTTGACATATAATAAAATTAAAATGTGTGTTGATAATTAATTTTGTTATATATTTGATTCAATTGCATTTATAGATTCTCTGAATTGGTGATAAAATATAAATTTTGAGGTTAGGGGTGTTTGTTTACTAACTTGAAATCTTTTACTGCTGCGGTAATTCCCACTTAAAATATATATTTTATATCTTTTTAATAACATGTATACTGGATATTGTTTAATAATGTTGTTAAAATGTAAAATGTGATTAGTAAACAAACACCCCTATCCTCAAAATTTATATTTTATCACGAATTGAGAGAATTTATCAATGCAATTGAATCAAATATATAACAAAATTAATTATCAACACACATTTTAATTTAATTATATGTCAACAAGCGTTTTCCATGTTTAAAGTATGAATAAAATTGATGAAAGTGGAAACTAATTTTCTTCCCCATAAGAATAACATTTTGTCGTCTGTTTGTTGTCCCTCCAGGCCTCTGACGTCATATCTTGAACTCGAAATATCTGGATGAACTGACACAGCCTAATACTACGGAAACTTCTACGCGCCAGCTCGTGACGAGGCGAAACCAAAACCAAATTATGCTCGTTTCATATTTAGCATACAGAACATCGTTGTTTCAATGCTTTTGTTGTACAGAACACACAAGTTGGTTCGATAAATCCATTCATCTTTAAATTATAAGATGAAATTTGTTGTATTTAAATAATCTATATGTATAATAATTGCAATGAATTTTTTAATATTAATATAACAATAATTAATATTAAAAATATTAAAGTAAATGAATAAATATAAATTTATATAAAGGGTGTTCAAAAAGTTACAAGTTTCCATACTTTTTCAACACCGTATATATATGTATAAACATAACCTTATATAAAAATGAATCTATTGCCCGGTTCCACCAACCTACTGGTTAATGCTCTGTTAACTGCCGGTCAGTTAAATTTAACGGCGCCGTCAATTTGTGTTTAACAGGCAGTGCGTTCCACCAACGTTGTAAGGACATTGGTTAAGGCCTAAGCAGAATAGATTCTTGAACGGGAACGCAATCGTAAACGGAAACGTAAGAATGTGTAAGAGAAGGATAGCAAATATCTTTATTCTTCTCTTAAGGCCTTTCTCCAATAGGAACCTAAACTTTTGCGTTGCGTGACTGACGCGTTGATTTTAGCATTGGTTGCCAATAGCAACCGACGCAATGCATACGCAACGCAAGAGTTTAGGATCCTATTGGAGAAAGGCCTTCACCCATTCTAGGCCTTTCTCCAATAGGATCTTAAACTCTTGCGTTGCGTATGCATTGCGTCGGTTGCTATTGGCAACCAATGCTAAAATCAACGCGTCAGTCACGCAACGCAAAAGTTTAGGTTCCTATTGGAGAAAGGCCTTCTTACGTTTCCGTTCACGATTGCGTTCCCGTTCAAGAATCTATTCTGCTTAGGCCTTTAACTAACCGTATACTGCGTTCATGCTAACTCCACTTTCACTTCAAAATTCTGTTTGTAATTGGTTAAGAGCTGAGTCTAACGGATTTATTAAATAAATATATTAATTAAATAAATATATATATAAATTAAATAAATTAAATAAATTTAAATTCAACTAATTGTTTCGAATAACTGAAAGAACCTTAATATACAGAAAGTATTTGAGAGATGAGTGGAAAATTTATACACGTCCTTTCTGTGTTTTTAAATATCAAGTTTTATAATTACTTATGATTTTCATAAGTAATTATAATTAATTTTTGAAACAATTAGTTGAATTTAAATTTATTTAATAAACATTTAAACTTACCGATTTATTTTCAACACTCATTATTTATTAAAAGTTAAAAAGAACCGACAAAACATAAACAAAACTTTGGGAGACACTCACAAGGAAGAAGCACTGTACAAACCATTTCACAAACATCGTCATTTTACACTTTCTTGTAGCAGAAAACGTTTTAAAGCAAAATTCGCTAAATTTTTCAATCAAATCATCTTTCTATCACTATTTTAAAGTGTTCTTACATATTTAAACAATTATTTAATATTATATTTCTTAAAAAAACATTTTTTGTTTAAAACAATTCAAAAATACCCGCCGTGAAAATGACTTTTCACGCATTTTCATGGTCCAGAAATAATGTTCATCTGATCGAAATTCGAGGTATAAAAGCACCTTTAGTCAAATTTACCATAAATTTTTTTGAGTGTATATAATCTTTAAAATTACCGTGTGGTGTACTTTCATGGAGCGGTCACACCTCGGTTGCAAGAGCAGTTGCCCATGGCAACCGTGTAAGAGTAAGAGAGATAGAAGATTTTCCATCTCTCTTACTCTTACACGGTTGCCATTGGCAACTGCTCCTGCAGGCGAGGTGTGACCGCTCCATTACACTACGAGATGTAAATTTACAAATTCTAAAAGTAAAATTTCCCATTCTAGATGTTATACTGTTTTATGTACATACGTCACTTTCACAGTAGGTAAGATTTTGGACCTACGTAAAAAGTAATAATGTTACAATAAAAATTTGTTACAGTGCGTTTGTTACGTTTTCGTAAATGGAAACGGACAATGAGGGAGAGAGAGAGAGAGAGAGAAGAATAAAGATATTTGCTATCCTCCTCCTACTCATTCTCACGTTACCGTTGACGATCGCGTTCCCGTTTAAGAAGCTATTCTGTACGGAAGCGCCTACGAGTCACCAGCGAACTGTCTTGTTCGCGTCACATTTTTAGCTGTGAAACCGAGGAACGCGTTCGATGGTTTCGCTGTTTCCTTGTTTTTGAGTGACGATAAAACACACTATACGGTTCGATAGTTCGATGGTTCTCTGGTTTTACTTAGTTCTATCGTTATCGAAGTCTAAATTTTGTATTAAAAAAATAAATTTAAATTTAAAAACCGAAATATAATAATATATATTTAAATTATATATTTGAGATATATCAGATATCTTATAATGTGTGCCTAAAAAATTATTTTATTTAAAAATAATAGTACAAAATATTAATAGTATAGTACAAATATAAAATGCAAACAAATCAACTTACTTCAAAATAATATTTTGTACTATTATTTTTAAATAAAATAATTTTTTAGGCACACATTATAAGATATCTGATATATCTCAAATATATAATTTAAATATATATTATTATATTTCGGTTTTTAAATTTAAATTTATTTTTTTAATACAAAATTTAGACTTCGATAACGATAGAACTAAGTAAAACCAGAGAACCATCGAACTATCGAACCGTATAGTGTGTTTTATCGTCACTCAAAAACAAGGAAACAGCGAAACCATCGATCGCGTTCCTCGGTTTCACAGCTAAAAATGTGACGCGAACAAGACAGTTCGCTGGTGACTCGTAGGCGCTTCCGTAATTCTGCTTAGGTCTTAAAAAATATTTTTTTGTAATAGGTGTAAATACACCTTAAAAGTTTGAATGCATTCTATTGGCTAAATTTCTTTAGAGCCAAAGGAAACATTAAGTTATTGTGTCATTGTGATTAGGCCTTATGTTCATGTTTTACGCACATGTGTGAAAAGCAAATCGTGCACCTATACTGTATTATTGTTTCTTTATAAATACATTTTGTCGGAGATGTGCAAGGAAAAGTAAACAGTTATTAATAAATATTAAAGTTTGAATACAGCTGTGCTTATTTGTATAGAACTGTAATTCTGGAGTGAAAATAAAAAATGTGTATTGCAACCCAACTTTTTAAAACATCAATTACCTAAATACTATTCAACTAAAAACTAATCAACTGCACTTTTACATGTTATTGTTTTCGGTGAATGTAAACATTAAACGTTTGAGATAAAAAATATATTTGAAAGTGCAGGTTAAAATGGCACGTCTGAAACAGAGAGTGGATATTTGTGCTGATTGTGGGTCTCCTGGTAAGCTTTAATAGTCCAGCTTAATTTGTAATTGATTAGTTTTACTTGTTTTAATATCATTTAGCTGCATTTAGTAAGTTAATATTATACTTTGGAAGTGAATTCTGTATTTTACGTAATTTTTCAATTATATTAAAATATTTAGTTCTTATAATAAAGGTTATGTTTAGAAGTGTCTCCTTGAGCACAGTCAAAATTTATTGAATTTTTCTTTTAAAGTATGTGAGAAAAAATTGTCAAATACACCCTCTATATAAATGACACTTTTACAAAAATTAACGTTTTTGCCATGAAATAATTAGCAGAATTTCGTCGACTTGTGTGAAAATTAGAACTATCAAAATTGTAAACACAGGAACAAAGAAATTAATCGTTTCCTATTCTTAAACTACGAATTAAACTATTTGTGATGTAACCTGAAATATGCATCTTAAAAAGGAATAAATTAGTAGCTTGAACAAACAGAATTCTGTCAATTTTTTGTTTCACTGTTTTAATTAGAGAAACGAATGAAAATGTGAAAACAAAATTCTTATGATTCGAAAAAAACTATTTTATGCAATCAAAGAACTACTTGAAATTTTATTAATTCAAAATTGTAATTCTTAATTTATAACATGGAAAATGTCATTAAAATATAATAAACATGTTACATTACCAAACGATATTGTTTAGATGAATAGTAGTTATTTATTTTATACCATAGTTAATACCTGTATGGTGTTTGTTAAAAAGGGGAAAACAAACTAATCATTTTAGCACCAAACTGCTTTATCCTTTAATAGTATGTAACTTCGTTTACCTATCAAAGTATAAAATAATGCTTTTTAGCAATGTTTAGTGAAAATTGTGTAAAGATTTAAATGTTTAGTGTGAAACTTTCCTCAACAGTTAAATGAAATGTTCGCCTAATTATAATTATAATTGGGCGAAAATTTCATTTCCATGTTCAGTAAAGTTTCGCGCTAAACATTTATTCAAGTGGGACATTTAAATCTTTACACAATTTTCACTAAACATTGCAATTAAATATTGCGAACATTTCAAATAAATCTTTAGGAAAGTTTCGGTGCTGTCGGGGTTATACTCTTACAGTAATAGTGACGTACTTTAAAAGCATAAAATTGATGACCGCCAAGTACGACATATAGTCTACCTAAAATAGCAAGAGCATAAATAAGCAGAGCCATATAAGAGCATGAAAAACTAAGGTACCCACAAAAGACATCCCAGGGATATCCAAATTTCCATCCCGTGGGTAACCCGTGCTGTATATCCCAGGGACATCTTGTACGGAATTTCCCGCAGTATCTGAGACGGAATATCTCATATAGACTATCGAAAATAAATTAAGTTTTTAGAATTTTTTAAAATTGAAATAACAAAACTCTGAAATGCACAATTATAATCATAATACTTTTTTATTAAATATATAAATATAGGTTTACATTAAGTATTTTTGGAAAGACGTTCCGGAAACGTTTACACTGTATACATCTTGTCAGCTGTGTGGAACTCTCAGGGATATCCCGTGGGATGTCACACAAACGGGAAATATACAAGCAGAAAAAAATTGAGCTTTATAAAGAAATTTTTTTTGTATTTCAGAATCAATGGATTTAAAACATATCTTTTACAAAATTTTTAAATATGAAAATTTAATTTTAAATTTATTTTTTAATTTTTTATGTTAAAATTAATCTAATTTTCAAAATTAATAATAAATTATTAGTTGAAAAAATTCGATCCTTGGAAGGAATAAAATAACATTGAAATTAATGTTATTAAATGTTGTTTATTGTCACAAAACAAAAAACGACGTTTAGATGACTTGGTTCGTCATCATCTTCATGTTAAATCTGGTGAACATTAATAATTATATTTAAAACACCATACTTTTTAAAGTAAAGATGTATAATGGTTCAATTTTATGTTGGTGATTTTGCTATTATTTATATATTATTATTTATTTATAAAAAAAGAGAATATGGTGTTTTAAATATAATTATTAATGTTCATCAGGTTTAACCTGAAGATGATGACGAACCAAGTCATCCAAACGTCGTTTTTTGTGTTGTGGCAATAAGCAACATTTAATAAAATTAATTTCAATGTTATTTTATTCCTTCCAAGGATCAAATTTTTTCAACTTTTTATAAGTAATACTTGAAAAGCAAACAAAGATCGGGGTTGTCCGCTTTACACGAATATATACCTGCATGTACGCAAAAATTATAGCAAAAACGATGTGAACATAAACTTTAAACTTGTTTTTCTCGAAACAGTTTTTTTAAAACTGGTACCCCCTGTAAAAAAAAATCTAAACGAGATTTTGAGGATTTCTTTTTTGCATGTTGTTAAAAAACATATTCTTTAGAGGACTAATTATCAAAATTTTGAAAATTAAACTTTTTTCAATTTTTTTTTTGCCAAAAGCTGTAAAAGAACTGTGATTTTTTAAATTTTGATTTTAAAAGGACACCATTTTGGTTTTTTTAAAATTTTCTTTTATTTCATGATATCAATCCACTGGGTATTTATGTATACTAAACAAAATTTTGGTTTTTTTATTTTCGACTGTCAGGAGTGGCTCTACAGGGGTACCGCAAAAACTTACAAATTTTAGACCTCTACTATAGCGCCCTCTACGAATCATAATTAACAATAAAAATACAAAGCAATTTTTGCTTTTTGTAGTTTTAATAATGTATTTTTAGGAATAAAAAAAATTTTTTAATTTATATTAAAATGGCTGTGAAAAAAATTGGAAAGAGGTGCCTATTTTTCGTCTTCGCAAACGCAAGTACGCCTTAAATATCTATCTTCTTTCACAATTTTGACTATTTTTCATCACTCATTTTTTTCGACGCTTTTTTAATGATTCTTCTCGCTTGGTTTTTAAAAAATATTAATTTATTCATATTATATTATTTAAAAACGATTTTTTGAAAGACAGTTGAATAAAACACATTCACAATTGTAACGATAAAGTTTCGTTTTTATGTATTTAATTTTTTACTCCTTTGACGAAATGTTGGTGCAATTTCTTTTAAATAGATTGTAATAAAACGATCTGATGATGGTGGCGAACTGCCAGAAGAAAAAGATATACCTATAATTTTTATAAATTTATTCAAAAAATAAAAATTCTAAATTGGTCAAAAATAAAGATTTTCTTTTTTTTGACCATCTTACCTATATGTTTTCAGGACCGAAATGATGCAAGAAAAAAAATATAACCCCATTTAATAATTTAAATTTAAGTGTGTCAAAATTGGGGTTGGTTTCTCCCCTTAAAGTTTTTGATTGGAGAAATCTAAGTTTTTATACGGAACATATACAGCAGAGACTTCACGAAAGTCGAATGAAATGAAAATTTAATTTGGATTCGGTTTAGTAATCGAAACGAAAGTTGAATGGACTTTTGATTCGGTATGGATAACGAAACAGAACTCAAATCGACTTTTGATTCGGTTTGATAAACGAAACGAAAGTCTAATGGATTTTTGATTTGGTAAACGAAAAGAAAGTTGAATGAACTTTTGATTCGGTTTGGTAAATCAAACCGAAAGTATAATGTTGACTTTTGATTCCGATAGTATCCGTCATTATGTGACTGTAAACTAGAGACTTAAAACGTAATAATTTAAGACATGACTTGATTCAGTTAGCGAACCGGAAGTAATCTGTCAAACTTTCGTTTCGTTTAAAAAACTAAATCAGAAGTACATTCTACATACGTTTCGTTCACTAAACCGAATCGAAACTAAGTTGACTTTTGATTATGATTTCGCAATCAAATTCGAACATACTTGACTTTTGATTCTGATTTCGGAATCAAACCTTAAATGAACTTGACTTTTGACTTAGGTACCAGAATTAAAACTGAATATAGCTGAATTTTGATTCTGATTTTGGAATCAAAACTAAATAGAGTCGACTTTTGATTCTGATTACGGAATCAAAACTAAATATAGTCGACTTTTGATTTTGATTTCGGAATCAAAACTGAAAAAACTTGACTTTCGATTCCGATATCCTGATCAGAATCAAAACAAAAGTGTTTTTGAATTTTTTTTTGATTCCGTGAAGGTCCCTGATATATAGTTATATAATATGTTAAGTATGATGTTTTTTAGTCCGTCTGTCAGTTCTGTGTCAGACTGTTCAGTCTTGGTGCAGAAATGCGACAGTAGTTAATTTCCCATTGGGATTCTTTGGTATACGTACTTTATGCGCTCCGCTTATAACAATATTTAACTATATTTGCAGTTCAAATTTGTTAAAACAATTATAGAAGAGCATTATTCACATGTTTAAGAATATTTTTAAGCAATAAAAAAAATTGATTTTTACGACCTCATGAACCAGACTCCCCCCTTAAGCAAATATGATAAAAAATAAAAGCTTAATTTCAGCATAATTAAGCAATTCTTTTAGCGTAATTTAACTTGTTAAAAAGGCAGAAAGTTCTTATTTCTAGTCATTATTTTTCTGTGGCATTACCAAAGCAATATTTACCGGGTTAATAAGGTAACATAAATGTCATTAAAAAAATTAATAATTTGCTTTTTTAATCTAAAAATAAGTAATTAAACAAATATTGTATTTTTTACAAAACCTGTTGCCATGTGTGAATTTCTTTGGTAATGCAGCAGAATTTTCTGTATTATAAAATATATTTTAAATTCTTTTTTTAGTGTAAACTTTTCTTTTTTATTTATTTTTTTTGTTAAAAAAAGTTCATTTTGTTGTATGTCTGTAATGGGGTTAATTTGATTTTAATCACATTGCATGTATATTGTATATTCCTTATGGAGGAAGTATTGGAATAAAAATTTTCCGAACTTGATTTTTTGGTGTCTTCCATTGGGCTCTAGGCCCAATTAGAACATTAGCTTCGAATTTCTAATTCAGGCCAATATTTTGGCCATTTAAACCACATGAGTGAACGCAGAATTTCATGAGAATTACGAATTTGATACCGAAAATTAGTGGTCTCATTAAAAAAAAACTTTATTTACTGTAGGGCCTCACATTGGGCCTGGGGCCCAATTTTTTGGGTTTAAAAATATATATTTTTTTGTTGGGAACAACTTTTGTCATGAACAATTTTTACGAAAATGCATACTTCTCAAGATATTTGTAAGTTTCTATACTTTTTAAATAAAAGCCATTCTGCGTGTTAGCGCTATGTTAACTTGCTGGAATTTATAATGATAAATTTACTGAAAGTTTTTGTTAGTATGTTTGCATAAATTTTGCAAGAAATTTTTTCTGATACATTCAAAATTAAAAAAAAATAATTTTTTTTCAAGATGTATGTATTTTATTACATCCATATCTTTTCTATAGGGAAATGTAATTAAAAAGTATTTCGCAGCTCTAGCTGCCATAGAAAACAACTGCGTATGAAAATAGATTTTGTATAAAATTACAAAGGAAAATTTTAGCAAATTTACTTTTCTAACTTTCAAAAAGCTAACAGTCTTAACTTCCGTACTTATCAACGTTAATTTCCTGTTAAATTCCTGCAAACTTCGGTGCTATACAGATAGAGGTGAGGTTGTCCTCGTTTCTTTGTTAGTGCTCTTCAAAACATAAAGATTTTATGGAAATTGAAGAAGGAAATTCAACATTATAATAAAACAAATATTTATTTTTTATATTTCAGAACCAAGCTGGGTGTCTCTAAACAGAGCAATATTGTTGTGTGACGAATGTTGTAGCATTCATCGCAGCTTAGGACGTCATATTTCCCACATTAAATTTCTTCATAAAGGACCTTGGAGTACATCAATGTTGAATGTTAGTATTTTTAATTTACATCATAATATACAATATTTTCAGTGTTATTATCTATTGAGGGTCCCGAGACGGTTACAAGCTGAGTCGACAACACTAGGTTCGAATGTTCTATCAATTTTTGTCAATTTATTAAGTTTTCATGAAAATATTTACGTTTTTTTGAGAAGTGTATTGGTGGGGCGAGGTGGCTGGTGAAGAATATTAACATATACATATTAAAATTATATTGAGATCCGATTCATTGTTTCAGAAATATTAATGTTTAAAAAATAATTGTCAAAAAATTCAATATGGCGTAACTTGTACAATTTTAATAATTTTCAAAAATCCTTCGGGACTTTAATTTTTTATATCCAATACTACAATTTTACCAAATTACAGACGAATTCAAAGATCCCTTGCAAATCGTGATATTTCTGACGGAGTCTTACCCATAGGTACATGTGCATTCCAATTAGTAGACCAAAAGTTATCAAGTTTAATAGACATGTACATTTAAATTCAATGGCAATTGTATATTAGATTTTAGTAACCGTAATCAGTATCTGTTCCATTTATTTTTCAACCTGTTAGAGAGAGAGACTTATTTTATATACAGCTTTTTTATAGATGGTGCGGACATTACATGAAAGTGGAGCGAACAATATTTGGGAACATTCTCTTCTGGATCCAAATAATTCTAAAAATAGTAGAAGAAAACCGCAACCTAAGGATCTGTTGCAGTCAGTATTTTATTAATTAATTCTACTAAAACTTTTAAAATTATAAAATTGAAATATTATTTCTTGTAGCCCTGTTAAAGAAGACTTTATTCGAGCTAAACATCAGCAACTTGTCTTTATTTTGCGCCCAAGTAAAGAAGAATTTTGTACAGAGGAAGAAATTTGCAGACAATTGCACAGTAGTGTACGAACTACTAACCTTGAAACATCTCTTCGTTTGCTAGCACAGGGTGCAAACCCTAATTACTTTTATAAGGTTTGATTTACTTTTTCATGCCTTAAGGTGTATCATTAAGGGGACCGTATGATATACAAGGTGTCCAGCGGTCAAGGAAAAGTATATAGAAACTATTAAAAAAAAGAAAATATTAGTTCATTGTAAAATGATAAATTCATGATAAAATCAGTATTTTACTTTAAGGGGGCAATCGCAGTTGTAGCGCCAAAAAATAGACCTTTTTTATGCATTTTTTTCTCGTACACCATTAAATTTTTTCAAAAGATCGATTTATTATTTAAAACTACATATATTAAACACGAATTTAAAAAAAGTTAAAAATATTAAATATTTTTAAAGTTATATCCTGTCAATGTGATGTCCTTTTAAAAAACATGATTTGAGGTGACCACGACTATGGAAATCTGGCTCATCTGAAATCAAAAATTCAAACGGATTTACAGTTATTTAAAGATTATCTAGTCCTTGACGGAGCGATTTTTCAAAAAAAATTTTTTTGACAAAATAGCGACCTGTCAAAATTTAACTTTCGATTTTCATAAAAAAAAATCGGTCGTTTTTCAGCTGTAAAAAAAAAAGTTTTGCATAAAAACTAGATTATTATGTATTGAAAAAGCATTTTAAATTTTATGACAATCGGTTCAGTAGTTTTCAAGTGAGAGTGGTCACCGACTTTAAAAATGTAGTTTTGAGAAAAACGTGTTTAAAGTTTTAAGTTACTTTTTCATGAAGATGGAATTTTTGTTTTGAAATCAGATAGAATCATCAATTCTTGGACCATATAATAATTCTTCCGCAGATGAAGCTGCTTCCAAAATCCCAATTTATATATAAAGGTATAAGGACCCACACGGATGTTGGCCTGTTCTTGACCGACCTGACGCGCCTCCCTTTCAGCCTGTATATCTCATTCAATTTTCACTGGATCATCATAAAAATTTGTAGACATATTTCTGAAAACATATACTTTAAGAAAATTCAAAAAAAATCGATTTTTTAAAAGTTACAACTGCGATTGCCCTCTTAAGTGCTGAATATATTTTTGTTTATAAAAGGAAGAGTTTATTATGTCAAATTACTTTTTCTTTATTATTTTAAAGTATTCGACAGTATTGTACTTTAAGGGGGGAACACCAGTTGTAACTCAAAAAATAATGCTTTTTTCAAGAATATTTTCCAAAAGAACAATGAATCTTTTTAAAGAATACTATTTATTAGTTAAAAGTACATGTAAAAAGCTGTAATTTAAAAGAAAAAAAAAATTTTTTTAACAAAAACTTTTGGAGATATGAGCCATTGAAGTGGCGTCTTAAGAAAAAAGGCGAATTGCGGTGACCAGCATTCTGCAAGTATACTTCGTCTGAAATACAAAAATGAAATTGATTTACATTTATTATAAGATTATCTAGTTCGTGATCGAAGGATTTAAAAAAAAAAAAAAATTTGACAAAATGGCGACCTGTCAAAGTCAAAAGTATGATTTTCGTTAAAAAAATACGGTCGATTTTCAGCTATATAAAAAAAAGTTTTGCATAAAAAAAAAAATCCTTCGATCACGAACTAGACTTATATGTGTAAATGAAGCACACTAAATTTTAAATAAATCGGTTTAATGGTATTCGAGTAATCGTGGTCACCGACTTGGAAAATGTCATTTTGAGAAAAACGCATTCAAAGTTTCAACTTACTTTTTTTTGTTCAGAAGAAATTTTGTTTCCAAGTTACAAAGAGTCATCGATTCTTGGACCATATAATAACTCTTCCGCAGTGGTTGCCGTTTCTAAATCATAGGAAAAGGCCATCTGTCGTTAGGGTCAGTTATGGCTGGCCACCTTGTATGAAGCCACGGGACGCGCCGATGCAGTGTTCTGTATATCTCATTTATTTTTCACCGGATCAACTTTGAAATTTACAGACACATTTCTAAATATGTGTACTTTAAGAAAATGCACAAAAAAAAAAATTGATTTTTCGAAAGTTACAACTGGTGTTCCCCCCTTAAGTGTTTATAAGATTACTATTTCAGAAACAGAAATTTTACAATGATAATTAAATAAATTGTTTTATGTTTATTATTTTAAAGTATTGAACTGCATTATAATATAAATGCGCCACATATTAAGGGATTAAACCACTCTAGAACGCCAAAAAGAGGCCTAATTTAATTAATTGTTTTTAAGAAAAGTTTAAAAGTAAAGAAAAACATGTTTATATATCTTTGTTAGGTAGACTTTAAAGAAAAACAAATTTTTATAAATTTTATTTCTTTAAATTTCAGGTTTACAGGTACGTTATAGAAATCTTTTTTGAGGAGAAGCACTTCGCGACCGGAAAGGTTTTTGCTACAATTTTTATCCTATAACAAAAAACAAATTTTTTTCATATTTTACATCTCAAAATCTAAAGAAAGATGTAGAGAATTTTTTTAAATCGATTTTTGCAAAAATGGTGAACATTGTAAGGAAAAACTACAAAAGTAGGGACTAAATTGTTTATACAGGGTGGCCGCAAGTCAGGGAAAAACTGAAAATCAGGGTAAAGTCAGGGAGAAGTCAGGGAATTTTTAAAAATTTTTTAAAAGTCTGGGAATTTTGATTAAAAGAAACCACAAATTAAAAAACTTTGATACATAAATGTCAATTCAGTTGTTTTTATTTAGACGTTTTTGTAATATAGCTCATTATAATGGTGCCGTCAGATTTTTCATTTTTCAAAGGATTTAATTTTTTTATAATAAAAGTTTTAAATATAATAAAATTTTGTTATTAAATAATTTTTAATTATCTTATCTTTTTTTTTATGAATAAAATTGTTACTTAAAAAGCTTTATAAAAATTTCAATCAGCAATGCAGAATATTAATTAATTCAAAAGTTTTTTAGTCAGGGAAAATAAAAAATTTGTCAGGGAAAAGTCAGGGAATTTTGAAAATAAAATTTTGCGGCCACCCCTGATTATAACTTTAAAATTATGCAACTTAAAAAAATCCATACGTCTTTCTCTAAATAATGTTATTAAGAAGCTCCAGTTAAATTTTTAGGTAAATCGGTTTTCCGGCATTTCAAAAAAAGTAGTTTTGAAAAAAGTCCGTTTAAAGTGTTAATTATGATTTGTTGGATATACATTTAATCTGCAATACTTGCGCCATATAATCAGTGGAATTTCACTGACTAGTTGTGAAAATTAGTTAAATCTTTCTGATGGAGCTAGCCAAGATTTAAAATAAAGTGTAAATGTCACTACATTAGATTATATAGAAAAATACTTCTGCCGAGTACGCAGTACAGGACCACGATCGGGATCAAATTCAAGTACTTAAAAAGTCTTTCTACTTATAATTGATATTGTTTCTTATTTTATATACCATTAGACATCTTTTAAAGGAAAAAAAATTTGTTTTGATTTTTTGAAAATTCTAGAGTGGTTTAACTCTTAATCAAAAACAAAGTTTATAATGATAATAAATAAAATGTTTTTTATTACCTTAAAAATACTGTAATATTGAATACCTTTCATTCTTGTTGTATTAAAGAGGTTAGAAAAAATTAAGGAATTTTTTTCGTACTTACTGGACACCTTAATAATATAGGATATTGATAGTATCGCAATTATGTTTAATGTAAATATAAAAAAATTACAGGAGAAAGGAACAACGCCTTTACATGTAGCAGCTCGCGCAGGTCAATCATTGCAATTAGAACTTCTTATAGCTAATGGAGGAAATCCTAGTTTGGTTGATTCAAATGGCTACACTTCTGCTGAAATTGCAAAGTAAGTTAAATTTCTTCTTTTACTCTACACTACTGGTCGGAATAGTGCGACCATACTTACTTATTATTTTCTATAAAAAGAACACGTTAAACCCTAAAATGTATCGGAACTAAAATTTATTGTACTTTATCATCTTAAAAACTGATAAAATTGTGATAATTTAGGAGCGAATTTTTTAATTTACTTTAAATTTGAGACTAGTAGACTGATTTGGAATAAAAAAGGGCATCGTGCCCCACTGAAGAGTACGGTTTTGTTACAAATAAAAAATATATAGATAGGGGGGAGTTGTGCTCCAGGTTTTGTTTTTCGATCAAAACTATTACATAAAATTTTTTTGACTGTTCTATTATAATGTACTTTTAGTACCCGTACAAACATAACTTTTGCATGATTGATTAATTAAAATTTAAAACGGAAATAGAAATTTTGCTTGTTTTTTGAAAATACTGGTTTTATAACTTTTCAAAAACAGTGGGGAGTTGTGCTCCACGGTTGAAAATTGAAGAAAAAGACATATTTTTTTAGAATATTTTTTATTTAAATTATGAAATGTAAAAAAGTAAGAGAAGTTACATAGAATAAAGTAATATATAAGTTAATTAAAGATTAATTTTATGTAATTTAGATAAAATTAAATTATTTTAAAAATAATTGAATTAAACTAGGTAACTAATTTCATTTACAGTTAATACATATGTAAAAAGTCTCATTTCACTAAAGAACAATTTTAAATTGAATAAAACATTCTAATTACTCATAAATAATTTGAAATAAAAATAGAGAGTGCGTATTAGAATTAAAAACTGTTAAATATGATGTGAGGCACAACTCCCCATTTTTTACATTTTCAAAATATTCATAGAATAATTAATACATCGAATGCTTATGCGAATTATTTTTATACTTCGAAAGTTATTAATGACAGCTAATTTTTATGCATTAAACATTGTGATCACTTTGAAAAAATTAGTGGAAATGACCTAAAGATAAAGAGACAAAAAAACTCTTAGAAACTCTTGTATGAAATCCCGTATAACATCACTTATGGTTTCTCATATGAGATACTACATGAGATCTTACGAGAATCCTATATGGAAACTCATGAGACAAATCTCATGAGTGTCCATATAGAATTCTATATGAGATCTCACATAGGATCCCACATGGGAATATGATATGATATTGTAGGTTTTAAACACAAAATATTTTTCCTTTATATAAAATGAACTCAAAATTTTGTCCGATTTAACGTATCTCTCACTATTTTTGAGATATTCACAAATCTTATTTTTCAAATTTCGACTCCATATGGGATCCTATATGGAATCCTGTATGGATACTGATGAGATTCTTCTTACGAAATGTCCTTATAAGATTTCGTATAGAATCATATATAAGAAACCATAAGCGATCTTACAAAGGATCTCATATGACCTTAATATGTACATTGTACGTTCTGAATTAAATTACCCTATTTATAGTCTATTTTTTTATAATCGTCTGTAGTTTATCGTTTAATTAAATTCTTCTTTTTTAGAATGGCAGGACATTTGGAATTATCGGAAAGACTTGTAGAAAATATGTATGAAGTGACGGACAAATTGAGTTTTTTCTTATGCGGACAGAAACCTAATCACAAAGCTGGACAGCACTTAATCATTCCAGAATGGTCCAGAGAATCAGATCGTGGTGAATTTTCTTTAGAAGCACGGAACAAGTTACAAATGGTAGATTTTCAAATTTATTATATTTAATATTTATTATTTTTTACAACTGATGACAAAATAACAAGTCTTTTACACACCTATCCTCAAGGGCGGATAAGTTTCTCAAAAATGTTACCAATATTGGCTTATGTGGAATGTTTACTAATTCTTCAAGAATTCCAAATCTCTAAACCTTAAAATCGTAGGTGTTCCCTTTTTAAATATTTTTATAATTTACATATGAGGGGCTGATAGCAAAAGTGGGTTATAATTTGAATGTGAATAAAAGTGGATTTAAAGCCTTGCGAGCAAAAACGGGTTAAAATATTTTGATTAATTTATCTATTTGAAAGAGATATTCATGACTTTTCTTTTATAAATATTATTTAAATAAATATTCCAAACCTGAAAAATTATACTATAAAGAGTATAAATGTTTCTACTAAATAGATTAATTAATTAATTAATTTATTGGGTTTATTTGAGACCCGTATATGTTTAAATTAAATAAATAATTAAAATATTTTAACTCATTTTTGCTCGCAATATTTTTATCCCACTTTTGCTATCAGTTCCTCAGTTTTACAGAGTCCGACACAGTAGTGCGAGTATTGGTTTATGGAACAATTAATTCAAGTTAAATAGTGATTAGTAACAGTACCCAGATAACAAAATGTCAGACATAAACCTCGCATGTGTGTTCTGACTAGATCAGACATCCATCAACTTATAAAAATCTTAATCTTATGGGGTCCTGGTAGAATATTTTTGAGACGGTGGAAATCAAAACAAAATCCATTTTGTTCCACTATAGGGGAGAGTGGGGCTGGTTGCACCACGTTTTTTAAAAACTGTAATAACTTTTATATCATTCATTTCATACGCCATATACGATAAATTAAAAAAGCAATCACTCTTTTATGACTCAAAAGTATTTACGTCACGTTATATCATGATCTATTCATGAAATCAGCATTTTATAAAAAAAATCTCTGTTGGTGCAATATGGTCTTGCACCACCTGTAGGGTATCTTCCAAAAGCTCGCAAAATGTTAAAAAAAAGGCCGTAGCCGGATAAGCAGGGTCCTGCGGCCCCCGCTCAAATTTCGTCGATATTTACAGGATCAATTAGTCTTAGTATGAAACTTTTTTTCGCCAAGTTTCAACTTCTAAAAATAATTTTGAAAAAAGTTATGGCATTTTAAAAAAAAAATTAAAAATTGGATTTTCTCTTAAGCGTTTATAGTTTTTTAATCGGGTACAAAATATGTTATAGGGGAAGCAAAAATGCATCTAACAAAAATTTGGCGACCATTTTTGTGTAGTGGAAGGGGTAAAAAAAATTTTTTTTACTTTTTATATTTTTTAAAAATATTAATTGACTTGGCACAATCACCATATTTTTTCCCTACATTCTTTAACATCCAAGAAGCAACATATTTTTTTGGCAGCTCGATCTGAGGGGTACTTGCCCGTTAAAATTTAAAAAAACTTATTTTTGGCCCCTAAAATGTATGGTATCTCTTGAAAATGGGAGGCCAACATCACCGGGCAAAGAAAATGTTAAAAAGGAAGCAAAAATGCATCTAACAAAAATTTGGCGACCATTTTTGTGCAGTGGAAGAGGTAAAAAAAATATTTTTTTAATGTTTATATTTTTTAAAAATATTAATTGACTTGGCACAATCACCATATTTTTTCCCTACATTCTTTAACATCCAAGAAGCAACATATTTTTTTGGCAGCTCGATCTGAGGGGTACTTGCCCGTTAAAATTTAAAAAAACTTATTTTTGGCCCCTAAAATGTATGGTATCTCTTGAAAATGGGAGGCCAACATCACCGGGCAAAGAAAATGTTAAAAAGGAAGCAAAAATGCATCTAACAAAAATTTGGCGACCATTTTTGTGCAGTGGAAGAGGTAAAAAAAATATTTTTTTAATGTTTATATTTTTTAAAAATATTAATTGACTTGGCACAATCACCATATTTTTTCCCTACATTCTTTAACATCCAAGAAGCAACATATTTTTTTGGCAGCTCGATCTGAGGGGTACTTGCCCGTTAAAATTTAAAAAAACTTATTTTTGGCCCCTAAAATGTATGGTATCTCTTGAAAATGGGAGGCCAACATCACCGGGCAAAGAAAATGTTAAAAAGGAAGCAAAAATGCATCTAACAAAAATTTGGCGACCATTTTTGTGCAGTGGAAGAGGTAAAAAAAATATTTTTTTAATGTTTATATTTTTTAAAAATATTAATTGACTTGGCACAATCACCATATTTTTCCCTACATTCTTTAACATCCAAGAAGCAACATATTTTTTTGGCAGCTCGATCTGAGGGGTACTTGCCCGTTAAAATTTAAAAAAACTTATTTTTGGCCCCTAAAATGTATGGTATTTCTTGAAAATGGGAGGCCAACATCACCGGGCAAAGAAAATGTTAAAAAGGAAGCAAAAATCCATCTAACAAAAATTTGGCGACCATTTTTGTGCAGTGGAAGAGGTAAAAAAAATATTTTTTTACTTTTTATATTTTTTAAAAATATTAATTGACTTGGCACAATCACCATATTTTTTTTCTACATTTTTTAACATCCAAGAAGCAACATATTTTTTTGGCGCCACGATCTGAAGGGTACTTGCCCGTTAAAATTTAATAAAACTGATTTTTGGCCCCTAAAATGCATGGTATCTCATGAAAATGGGGGCCAACATAACCGAGCAAAAATATGTTAGAAGGAAAGTGTGACGAAACTATATATAGATATATATTGAACACTGTTAGTGTATCTGCTATATATAAGAAACAACAAGTCTTGACTTATACGTCCAATGAATGCACAAAGGGTGTAAAGAGTCAGTAATGACGTAGACATATGTTTTACACCTAGATTAGATATGCTAGATTTATGTATAATGAATGCGATTGTGCCAAGTCAATTAAAAATTTTAAAAGAAAGTAAGAAGTAAAATATATTCTTATACACCTTCCACTGCAGAAAATTGAACACCAAATTTTTTTTAAATGCATTTTTGCTGTCCTTTTAACATATTGTTTGCTCAGTTGTGTTGGCCCCCCATTTTCATGAGATACCATGCATTTTAAAGGCCAAAAATCAGTTTTTTTAAATTTCAACTGGCAAGTACCCTTCAGATCGTGGTGCCAAAAAAATATGTTGCTTCTTGGATGTTAAAAAATGTAGGAAAAAAATATGGTGATTGTGCCAAGTCAATTAATATTTTTAAAAAATATAAACATTAAAAAAATATTTTTTTTACCTCTTCCACTGCACAAAAATGGTCGCCAAATTTTTGTTAGATGGATTTTTGCTTCCTTTTTAACATTTTCTTTGCCCGGTGATGTTGGCCTCCCATTTTCAAGAAATACCATACATTTTAGGGTCCAAAAATAAGTTTTTTTAAATTTTAACTGGCAAGTACCCCTCAGATCGAGCTGCCAAAAAAATATGTTGCTTCTTGGATGTTAAAGAATGTAGGAAAAAAATATGGTGATTGTGCCAAGTCAATTAATATTTTTAAAAAATATAAAAAGTAAAAAAAATTTTTTTTTACCCCTTCCACTACACAAAAATGGTCGCCAAATTTTTGTTAGATGCATTTTTGCTTCCCCTATAACATATTTTTTACCCGATTAAAAAACTATAAACGCTTAAGAGAAAATCCAATTTTTAATTTTTTTTAAAAAATGCCATAACTTTTTTCAAAATTATTTTTAGAAGTTGAAACTTGGCGAAAAAGAGTTTCATACTGAGACTAATTGCTCCTGTAAATATCGACGAAATTTGAGCGGGGGCCGCAGGACCCTGCTTATCCGGCTACGGCCTTTGACTCGATATAATTATCATAGAAACTTTTGTTTTTAAGTGTACTTACGATTATAATTACGTTTATTGAAATCTCAAACACATCGAAAGAACAGCAAACATTTTTCGAAAAATAGGCAGGACCAAAGGGGGACCAATAGGCAGCAGGCTGATTTCAATTCTCAGACTTGTTCTTCTTTCTTGTTTAGTGGCCTTTTGCATAGCATACAGCCATATCTATGTATAAACATACATAATGTGTGTGTAAAGCTTGGAGTAGCTTAGCGAAGGAACCTGCAGGTTATAAAGCCCGCGAAGTTCAAATTATGTATAAGTTCAGATGCATAAGATCAAAACAAAAAATAAATAAGGAAAAATAAAATTGTCAATCATACAGACTGTATATGGGATAAACAAAAAGAAAAAAAATGGAGGAGGAACAAACCAAAAAGGTAAAAAAAAAAGAAAACCAAAATCATGGGTTCAGTTAAAAAATCCACACCACACATCAATTAGCTGCCGGAGACGTAGATTATTCAGTTCATCCGGGCGGAAAGCAACCAAGATACAGGGAAAGATTAATGTCTGTGACAACACTGAGAGACTTTTTGCACCGTAGCAGACTTTTGACAGGCGGCTGCGGAGCATTCTAGCGATCAGCTATGCAACTACGTTTTTGGTCTGCAGCCGTACAATTTTTGGAGCGTAGCTGTCTAAAAAGTTGACGGTCGCAATGTTCATTTTTATTTTTGGACAGTCACGATACAAAATTTAGAATGCAGCGCACCAAAACCTATAGTGGCGCTACAGTCACACACGTAGTACTGACGCGGTACAAAAGGTCTCTCAGTGAAGCTTCTAGTTTCTGCACCACACGGACATGAAAGATCAATCCGCTATCCCAAACGCGCAAGAAGTTCCGAACCAACGACATGGCCTGTTCTAAGACGAGTCAATAAGCTAATCACCAAACCAGAAGATCTAATACCGACAAACCACGGTCACTTCGAATTATACGTAATTCTTGAGAAATACCTATTTCCCTTAGGCATGTTTCCGAAGAAAGGCCATGCCTCCTGTATCTCATAGCGAAATTTTGAACCAAATAATTTCAATATATCTGAACTTGGCAATCCAAATTGCTTTTTAAAAGGAGTGCGAGCAGCCAATTTAGCAGTCCGGTCAGCAATATC